GACACACTGAAATGTTTCAGATCTGAAGTGACGTGGAAACACACTGAATCACACCCACATACACACAGTTTACTAATTTTTATCTGTTCACCAGGGTTCAGGCTGGTTGAGTTAGTAGAGCAGCACACATCCTGTTTGTCTGTGATGGTACTGATGACAGATCTGTGGACGCTGACAGGCGTTTCGGCTCGTTACCACATCAATAACTCATCATGTCCAGCTTCTTTAACTGAGGTGACAACAAACTGTGAGAGCTGTCAGAAGTAACACGTGGAATTAAAGCTTAATGTTTCAGTAATGAGAAACCCACTAAGAACATGCAGAACAGAAAGAGGTTTCTGAGCTGAAATAAATCTGAAAATCAAGACGGGAGAGATTCGAGAAGGGACATAACGGTGAGTGTAAACAAAGTTTTTCTTTTCAGAGAACTGACTGGCACAAAAGTCTGTTGCTGCTACTGCAAACACAGACTGAGCCAGACAGGAAATGTACTCTCAAACCAAAATTTGCAGCTAAAATAATAATAATAATAATAAATAAGCTGAGAAGGGTATGTTGCTTTTGCAATGCATTTTACAACCAGATTCTGCACGGTAGCAACCAGATGTGGAGCTGTGGTCTCAAACTGCCAATACACCCCTTTTTTATATCGTCAAATAACTTATTAAAAACTACCTTACCAGTAAAACAAGTGTGATAATATCAACCTAAAATGACATAGCACACCTTCAAAAAAATGTATTTTCTTCCCAGTCAATATGGCAGATGGGCCATACGCTAAAATAACTCTGAAGATAGTAAAAAACAAATTCACATATCTTGGTGTTTGCATCACCCGCCAATATAAACAGCTCTTTCAATATAACTTTGGTATGCTCTTAGAACGAACCAAGAAAGATCTTTCAAAGTGGTCACCTTTAAAATTATCATTTATTTGGCGAATCAATTCTATTAAGATGATTGTCCTCCCAAAATTTCTTTACCTATCTTCATTCCTTTGTCCTTTTTCAAATCCTTAGACTCTATCTACTTTTATTTGGAATGGCAAACGTCCAAGGTTGAGGAAAGCGCACCTTCAAAAATCCAGGTGTCATGGTGGGATGTCTTTGCCCAGTTTTAAGTTTTATTACTGGGCAGCAAGTATACATAATATATTGTACTGGTGGCATTGCCATTCGCAACCTTGTAAACCACCCTGGGTAGATTTGGAGGTGCATGCTCACGATAAAATTTCTCTTCCGGCTCTTCTTGCATCTAGGCTGGATTTGGTTTCATACTCTATTGCCAATTGCTCAGTGGTGAGACATTCACTGCGGATCTGGACTCAATTTAGGAGGTCGTTTGGTTTTGGGGGTCCGTCTCTTTTAAGCCCCATTTTTCACAATCACCTTTTTCTGCCTGCAATGCAGGATATCACCTTTGGGAACTGGTCTGATAAGGGGATAACATGTTTTAGGGATTTATTTATAGACAATGTATTTGCATCCTTTGACCAGCTAATGTCACACTACGGGCTGGTTAAATCTGATTCTTTTTAGGGTCCTGCAAATAAGAGACTACATCAGATCTCTTCTGACTGACTTTCCTGTTTTACCCTCTGGGAATCCCTTGGACCTCTTCCTTTCCTGCAATGTGTTAATGAAAGGTTCAATTTTAAGGCTGTATAATCTACTTCTGAATCAGTCACCCTCCTTTGCACATAACATTAAGAGGGCCTGGGAGGTGGACCTCGATGGTTTGATCTCGGATGATCTATGGGACGACGTTCTTAAACAGGTCCACTCATCATCAGTATGTGCCCGGCACTCCCTAATTCAATTTAAAGTAGTACACAGGGCCTATATTTCTAAGACTAAGCTAGCTCAAATGTTTCCAGGCACTAGCTCTTTGTGTAATAGATGTCAAGGAGCCGAAGGCACTTTACTTCACATGCTTTGGACTTGCCCTGCTCTAGAACATTTCTGGCGGTCAATATTTGACTCTCTAACTACGGTTCTCCAGCATAGATTAGAACCAATCCCGCAGGTGGCACTGTTTGGGGTTGCCCCAGAAGAACTGCAGTTATCTCTACCAAAGCGTAAAATTATAGCTTTTTCCTCTCTGCTGGCACGTAGAGCTATCCTGTTAAAATGGAAAGAACCTCGTCCCCCCACCCATGCTCAATGGATAAGAGAGACTATGTCCTGCCTCTATTTAGAAAAAATTAGGTTTTCATTAAGAGGGTCAGAGAAGCAATTCTTTAAGGTGTGGCAGCCATTTCTTGATTACATTAATAGCCTTTGATAGCTTGTAAATACTTTCATGGTATTGATGATGCTCACGGTGGTATATGTTATTTAAAACCATACTTGTGTGTATGTGACTTTCTCTAAGACCTACATGTGCAATTGTGTATCTGTTTATGGCTATTTAATGTGAGTGCTACTTGGTTAGTTAATGGGATTGGTAGGGGTCAGGGGTTTGTCTTGTTGTTGTTCTTGCTTGAAATTCTGAAAATCAATAAAAAAAACATAAAACACAAAAAAATCTATTTGATATGTACTTTGAATTTATTGCAACCAGCCACCAGAGGGTGATCGAGTTGTGGTGGCTTCATTCTGGGCGCTGTCACGTCATCCATCTTTAAAAACGTTCCTTTAACTGCATCCAAGTTTCCCTAACGTGCGCCTTAGTCCCACCCACTTAAGATGTGAGGAGAGAAGAATCAGGGAAACACATTTTAAAAGACATGAGATGTTCTTTCCACTGATTCTTTATCTGAATCGTCCAATCGCAAACTGATTTCCAATAAAGGGGCGTGTCAGTCTGCAAAAGACTTACACAAACAATGCTCTGTTGTATTCTCGCTCATGGCTCCTCCAGCAGCCTCCTTGCTCCTCACAACAGGAATAACAGCTTTTGGACCTTCTTCAAGCAGTGGTTAACACTGTCACCTCACAGCAAGAAGGTTCCAGGTCCAACTTCTGGCCAAGCCGGGGCCTTTCTGTGTGGAGTCTGCATGTTCTCCCTGTGCCTGTGTGGGTTCTCTGTGGCTTCCTCCCACAGTCCAAAGACATGCAGCTTAGGTTGACTGGTGACTCTAAACTGCCAATAGGAGTGTGGGTGAGTGTGTGTGTGGTGGTTTGTCCACATGTCAGCCCTGTGATAGACTGGCGACCTTTCCAAGATGGACCCCGCCTCTCGCCCAGTGTCAGCTGGCATTGGCTCCAGCCCCCCACGACCATATTCAGGAATAGTATAGATAATGGATGGTAGTGTCATGACTTCAAGCTCACCACCATGTCTTCCAACTTGTAATTTTATTTAGTGAGCTTTCCTCCTCTACCAAGTCCTTCCCTCTTATCATGACCTGATCTCACTAGTGATCATGGCTGGGACTGTTAGATAGAATAGTCTGCAAGTGCATGAGTTTAAACACAACAAGGCTGTAAAGGTGAGCTAGTGAGTAGACGAGTCTCCATCTTCAGTGTGATGACAGTTGACAGCCCAGACAATCTCTGTAATCTCATTTAGTTAGCAACTGCCCTTTTTAAGACATGTAAAAGCATAGAAGTCACAAGTGGGCTATTTCTTCTTCTTCTTCTTTTGGCTGTTCTCATTAGGGGTCACCACAGCGAATCATCTGTTTCCACCTAACTCTATCCTCAGCATCCTCTACTCTCACCCCAGTTAACTTCATGTCCTCTTTTAGCACATCCATATATCTCCTCTTTGGCCTTCCTCTTGACCTCTTGCCTGGCAGCTCCATCTCCAACATCCTTCTACCAATATAACCACTATCCCTCCTCTGCACATGTCCAAACCATCTCAATCTGGCCTCTCTGCCCTTGTCCCCAAAACAGCCGACCTCAGCTGTCCCTCTGATGTGCTCATTCCTAATCCTGTCCATCCTGGTCCCTCCTAAAGAGAACATCAACATCCTCATCTCTGCCTCTTGTCTTTTCCTCACTGCTACAGTCTCTAACCCATACAGCATAGCTGGTCTCACTACTGTCTTGTACACCTTTCCTGTCATCCGCAAACAGCATTGTCCACAAGTGGGCTATTTACTGATGTATTTTACATCATAAAACAAAACGTGAAAACGTACTGACCTTGTGTTAACCACATACTTTATTTCAGGCATGTAACAAAAAACCCATGCATTAAAAAAACCCACTGACTCTGGGACAAGGAAACCGGAGGTGCAAAAATACTAACTCGGCTCCAGGTTTTAGGACTCACTACTATGACCCTCTCCTGGCAGTTACCCTATAGTTGCCACCATGTCCTGTTTCTTTCGGACTGGAACAGACTCCATCAAACCATCAAAACTGTAGAAAAGTTCATCGGTGCCAGCCTGCCCTCCGTCGAGGACCTGTACACCTTGCAGGTCAGAAGGAGGGCAGAGAAGATTTCTGCAGATCACTGTACGCCAAAACAACCAGACACAAGGAGAGTTTCTTCCCCGGATCGTCACTCTGATCAACACTTAACCCATGTTTATATGTATAACAAGATACTGTAAACACCACAGTACAGTAACTTATAGATGTAACCTGTGTACGTACCAAATAGCCTTTTTTTTAACTGGTATATATGTACATACTTTATACTTATCAACCAATTAAACTGGAGCCAAATTCCTTGTGTTTTTAACATACATGTCAATAAAGATTATGATTGATTGAGGATTCATAGCAGCCCCTTTCTGGGTTTGTGGGTACAGCAGTCTCCCTGCAGTGGGTCCAGTCTAAAATGTTGATTATAATGTGTAAAAATTGTTATAAGGTATTGATATTAATAGCCTCTCTCTCTCTCCTGCAGGATGGTGTGGTGATGAATAACTAAGACCAGCTCAAACACACACAGACACACTATGAGTATGTTGGCAGAACACTCAGCCTCCCCTGCACCTGAGGACCCGGCCTCGCCCCCACCCATGACCACACCTCCTCGCAAAACCTCTGTCCGACTGCAGGAGAGGTGGCTATTCAACACACACAGTAACACTCACAATATCATGTTTATCATGTCCTCACTTTCTGAAACGATCACTGTTTCCCAGTTTGTCTGTTTTCTAAAAATGTCCTTGATTTCCTGAATGTTTTAAACCATTCCTGC